AAGCCATATACAGCTACAGAGAAATGTACAATATTCATCACAATTGCTGAACACCACTCCTCTCTCATCCGTGGATCTGGCTCTCAGGGTGACCACCTGTCTCGGCCTCAATCCGGCCACCTTCACCTGAACGGGCTCGTCAAACAAACATGGGGCCCGTGGCAGCAGTCTCAGTCTCACCTTAAGCCTCTAAGAATTTACAAACTCTAAAACAACTGACAGTGGGGGTAAACCAATACAAACATGGGGCGTCCACCACACAATCATGAACACTTTTTCCTGTCTTTGTGGACTCTTTCATGAACTTTCAATCGTTAGTCCAGGATAAAATCTTTCCAACAAATTCCACAAGAAAACGATCACTCACCCGAGTGGGTTCTTTTATGGACATCAAGAATACTTTTTCGAGAAAAACCTCTCCCACATATAGTGCACATATAAGGTTTCTCACCTGAGTGGGTTCTTTTATGGATATCAAGACCACCTTTTCTAGAATAACTTTTTCCACATATAGCGCACATATAAGGTTTCTCACCTGAGTGGGTTCTTTTATGGTAATTAAGATAACTTTTTACAGAAAAATATTTTCCACATATAGTGCACAAAAAAGGTTTCTCCCCTGAGTGGGTTCTTTTATGGATATCAAGACCACCTTTTCTAGAATAACCTTTTCCACAAAGAATGCATACAAAAGGTTTATCCCCTGAGTGGATTTTTAAATGGCGATTAAGAGAAAGTTTTACAGAAAAACTTTTTCCACAAATAGTGCACACAAAAGGTTTCTCACCTGAGTGGGTTCTTTTATGGATATCAAGTGAATATTTTACAAAAAAACTTTTCCCACATATAATGCACACAAAAGGTTTGTCGCCTGAATGGGTTATTAAATGGTATTTAAGAGAATGTCTTACAGAAAAACTTTTTCCACATATAGTGCACACATAAGGTTTCTCACCTGAGTGGGTTATTTTATGGGCACTAAGATGTCCTTTTTGAGAAAAAGCTTTCCCACATGTTGGACATAAAAAAGGTTTTTCCCCAGTATGAGTTCTCATGTGTTTCACAAGATCTGATCTTCGAGGAAAACATTTCCCACATACTTCACAAGAAAAAGGTCGCTCACCGGTGTGTATTCTCATGTGTACCACAAAAGAAGAATTTGCAACACTTTTCCCACATGTTGTGCAGGTTTGTCTTTTAGATTTTTTGGGGGTGGTTCCAGTTGTCTTCTCATCACACTTATCCTTCAAAGACAATTTACCACCAGATTTCACAGACTGTTCATCTGACTCAACATTAGATTTGTATTCTGAAAGGACAGAATTATCATCGTTGCTGTGACCCATGTCTCCATTAGATCCATTCTTTGGCTTCATCCCTGTAACTTTTATGGATCCTATGATTGTGTGATCCATCCCTTCCTGATTTTGCCTCTCAGTTAAGGAGGAGTTCTGAGAGTTTGGCTGGTCAGGGTCTGTGTCTACTTTGCCAAAGTCCCATTCTTGGTGAGTAGGGCTCCACGTGAAAGCATTAGTCTCTGTCTCCACTTTGATCTGCTCTCCTCCTTGATTGGTGCAGAGTTCCTTATGTTCCTCTTTAATCTGAGGGGTTTCTGGTTCCTCCTGGTTCTGACTGGAATCTCTCTCTTCATTACAGAGTGTCTGGTAAGCAAATACTTCCTTCTTCCTACAGACCTGTTGCTCCAGAATGACTGCAGAGACAGAAGAACACAAGCAGTTATTTTTTATTATCTTATAGGAATCCAATGGTGGATCTTAACTGGTGAGAAGTTGTTTACGAGTAAAGTATGTGGGATTTCAGGACTTGAATTTTCCCCACATACTCTACAAGATAAGGGTTTCTCACCAGTCTGGATAAACATAGGGATTATGAGCCTACTTTTCCAAATGAAACCCTTTACACGTGTTTTACATTAGAAAAAGCTCAAGCTTTTTTCAGCTCCGTCTTCTGGCCAAAGTCAAGTCCTTTCTCAGTCGGCAGGACCTCGAGAGGGCAATCCATGCTTTTATTAGTTCAAGGCTGGATTACTGCAATGCCCTTTACGTTGGCCTCAGTCAATCATCGATTTCCCGTCTCCAACTTGTGCAGAATGCTGCTGCCCGACTTTTAACAACCACGTCCAGACGTGAGCACATTACCCCTGTGCTGTCGTCACTCCACTGGCTTCCAGTCCGTTTTAGAATTGATTTTAAACTCCTGCTGTTTGTTTTTAACGCCATTTATGGCTTGGCCCCTCCTTACTTGTCTGAGATTTTAACTTTTTGCAGTTGTGACAGAGCCTTGCGCTCCTCGGGTCAGCTTCTGTTAGACGTCCCCAAGTCAAGACTCAAACAGTGGGGCGATCGTTCTTTTGCCGTCGCTGCTCCAAGACTGTGGAACAAACTACCCCCTGACATCCGCACCACTACTGACCTTAGCCTTTTTTAAAAAAAGCTTAAGACCCACTTTTTTAAATTAGCATTTAATTCCGACTAGGGTCTCTTAGGTTTCCTCTTTCTGTCTGCTCCTTTCTACGCACTTCTGGAAGGCTTTTAATGCCCTGCAGCGCTGCTGCACCACTACAGCATTTTTAGTTGTTTCTGTATGTTTTGTATGTCTTTTTGTATTGTTTTATGGCTTTGTTGTAAAGCACTTTGAGTACCATTTGGGTATTGTAAAGGGCTATACAAATAAAATTGATTGATTGATTGATTGATTGAAAAACACTTCTCAGTAGATTTTCATGAGTGCCAAAAATTCTTAGAGGTTTGTAGACGTAGAAAGTAAACATTTCTCTCACCTTCGTGGCTCCTCGTGTGGATCAGCAAAGATCGATCACAAAGGAAGGTTTTCCCACATGTTTCGCACTCAAATGGCTTCCAACTTTCGTGGAGTTTTTTTTCCTCCGTATCAGACCTCAGAGGCTTTCTACAAACAGATTTTACAGACTGTTCATCTGGCTCGACTTCAGAGATATTTTCCTTTTCAAACTCAGGGGTCTCTCGTTGCTTCTGGTTCAGACTGGAGTCTCTCTCTTTACTACAGCACTTCTGGTCAGTAAATGCATCTTCCTCAACGGCCAGTTGCTGTGGAATGACTGCAGAGAAAGAATAAGAAATACATCCAATCAGAATATCATAATGTAGGGTTAAGTCTTTTTGAGAGCAAAACCTGGCTTTCTATTGTACTCTGAATTAAGTCAAACCGACCTGCTGACCATTTTAATAATAATCTAAATTACTTATGACAGCTGTCCAAATTTATGGAGAAAGACGTATTAGACGTCATAGTCTGTTATTCCATATGTTCAAAACTAATTCTATGCTTTAATGAGTTTTACTCTTTGCATTTTTGTGTCAAAAGATAAGATACTTTGTTGATCTCACAGTGGAGAAATTCAATGTCAGTTCAGCCCGTCCAAGATCACACAAACAGACACAAAGACACAGGGTTCGGGAAGACTGTGGGGCAGCTCACCTTTTTACTTCAGAAAAAAAAAAAAAGGGGGGGGGGGGGGGGGGGGGGGGCAATGCCACAACCCCTACAGGGGACGTAACAAAGTTGAAAAAAACACCTCAGTAAACTTAAGCCCAGATACAGTCATATCACACATCAAGGACACATACAGTGGGGGAAATAAGTATTTGACCCCTTGCTGATTTTGCAGGTTTGCCCACTTACAAAGAATGCAACGATCTATAACTTTAATCATATGTACATTCTAACAGTGAAAGACAGAATCCCAAAGAAAATTCCAGAAAATCACATCATATGAATTTATAAAAATTGATAACCATCTGATGAGGAAAAATAAGCATTTTCCGTAAGTGGGCAAACCTGCAAAATCAGCAAGGGGTCAAATACTAATTTCCCCCACTGTATGGGGAGGAAGCAATGGGGGATTGGAAGGAAGGGGGAAATAGCACCAGTAGCTCCATCGTTTTCTTTCTGTGGCCCCAAAAATAAAGTGAATTTAGTTTTAAGTTGGGTTTCATA